CATTACTCCACCCCCAGTTAGATTTTTTACTTCCTTATTTAGGAAACAGGTGAAGGATTTTATACTAAGTTGACACTAGGATGGGCCAAGACAGCTCGTGGAGGCATTTCACCCTCATTTTACTGATGAGGAAACAGACTTAGGTGAAGTGATATATTTGGTTACTCGACCAATCAAGTGCAGCTGGATTTGAACTTAGATCTATCGGGCTGTAGTGCTCGAGAGAAGAGACAGCTGAATGACACAGGCTGCAAGTGATTTAGGCTTGGTGGCGGAGGTTCTTGTTCTCATTAAATAGATCTGTTGGCGCTAAGTGGCAACAGTAAAGATGTGGAATGTCTTTTTTTTTTTCTTTTGTAAAGATGGGGTCTCACTAGTTTGTCCGGGGTGGTCTGAACATCTCACTATGTTGTCCAGGCTGGCCCCCAAGGCAGACAGGAAAGCATGAATGAATGGGTCTCAGGGAATGTGCACATTTTTTGGACTGGATTATCATCTTGTGGCTGGGTTTGTGTCCACTCGCAACAATCCTCTATAGAGCTCAGGGCTTGGGGAGGCCCATTTATATCTGGGTTAGAAATAGAGCCTTTGTGTCCAGGAGCGGTGGCTCAAACCTATAATCCCAGCACTTTGAGAGGCCAAGGTGGGTGGATCACTTGGGGAATTCAAGACTAGCCTGGCCAACATGGTGAAACCGCATCTCTACTATAAATACAAAAATTAACCGGGTGTGGGTGGCAGATGCCTGTAATTCCAGCTACTTGGGAGGCTGAGGCAGGAGAATCGCTTGAACACGGGAAGCAGAGGCTGCAGTGAGCCGAGATTGCACCACTGCTCTCCCGCCTGGGGGACAGAGATCGGGGGCAGACCTAAAGACAAGAAGCTTGTCAAAGTTAACCTCCCAATTGAACCTCTCAGATTTCTGCTGTGTGACATGGAGATAGTAAAGGGTGCATTGCAGGGTAGATCTGAGGATGAAATGAGATCATGGACATACAGATCCTTGTACATTGCACACTGGGCATGCTTTCTTCTCTCCTGAAATTCCCTCCCCATCTGGCTGCACTTTGGGAGTGTCCTCTCTATCTCTGGGAGTAGCTCCTGGGTCACTTCCTCCATGAAGCCCACCCAGCTCTCAGTCAGAGTGAGGCTGAATTTCTTCTGGGCTCCCACATTCCTGTGTGCTTTCCTTCCTTTGAGACTTTCTGACAAGGTAGTCTAAGAAAAGTGTTTTTATGTCTGCCCCTGATCTCACTTCAGCTCCTTGGAGGGGTCATTTAACTTTACTCTTGATCTTATTCTTTAGTAAAAAGTTTTTACTTCTTCCTTTTCTTTTTTTTCCGAGATGGAATTTCACTCTTGTCACCTAGGTTGGAGTTCAATGGTGTTATTTCGGCTCATTGCAACTTCCACCTCCTACATTCAAGCGATTCTCCTGCTTCGGCTTCCCCGAGTAGCTGGGATTACAGGTGCCCCCCACCATGCCCAGCTAATTTTTGTATTTTTAGTAGAGAGAGGGTTTCACCATATTGGCCAGGCTGGTCTGGAACTCCTGACCTCAGGTGATCCAACCACCTTGGCCTCCCAAAGTGCTGGGATTACAGGCATGAGCCACCGCACCCAGTCAGTTTTCACATGGCTGTCCAGAATAACGACTCCACTTCCCAACCATCCCTGCAGCTAGTATGTCCATGTGACCAAGCTATGATATGGACAGAAGTGATGTGGGAAACTTTTAAACCCTTATCTGGGGCGGGGGGTCTGTCTGCTTTCTCTTTCCTCCTTCTCCTTCCCTGTGGCTGGAAGGCACATATGGTGGAAAACCATGGTAGATCACGTGGAATGGTGGCAACCCTCTGTGTCCATTTGCTGGGGCTGCTGTAACAAAGTACCACAGACTATGTGCTTAATCAATGGAAATTTACTCTCTTGCAGTTCTGGAGACTACAAGTCTGAGATCAAGATGTTGGCAGGGTTGTTTTGAGGGAAGGATCCATTCTGGGCCTCTCTCCTTGTGCTGTAGATGGCCATCTTTTCCCTGTGTCTTCATGTCACTTTTCCTCTGTTTAAGTTCATGTCCAAATTGCCCCATCGTATAAGGACACCAGTCATATTGAATTAGGGCCCATCTACTCCAATATGACCTCATCTTAAATCATTACATTGTTAATACCCCTATTTCCAAATAAAGTGTCATTTCTGAGGTACTGGGGGTTAGGGCTTCCAAATATGAATTTTTTGGGAGGCACAGTACAACCCGGAATAACCTCATAGTAGATGCTGCACTGCTGAGATGACCTTTCAGGGCCGAAGGCCTGATTCCCGAAGCTGCCAGCTCTCAGCTCTCAGCCTTCCTAAGAATGGCTCTCAGCTGAAGGGAGTCTTCCAGTCCAAGGTCATACCCCTTCCTAGGGATAGCAGCATCCAGTGACTAGTCTCTCTCTGTGTATAAAGATCCTGCTCCCTTATCTCAACTCAAACCATCCTGAAAGGCCACCACAGCTTCAGGGCTTCCCTGGGTCTGGCTGCGGGCTTGGTTGTGACTGCATCACAGCTCAACTCCTCCCTCTGCTACTTAGTCCAACTTTGTACCTTTTCCCACAGGTTCATCCCCAGAGCAGCCTTCAATCAGCTTCCTGCATTTGGAGCTCCATCTTGAAGCCTGCTTCCTGGGAAGCCCGCACTGCAACACACCCTTATGACCCCAGAGCAGTGAAGAATCCTATGTCCCTGACACCAGGGAGCTGTCTTTTTTAGTTCTGTACTGTTTAAACCCAGCCTGTGATGTGAGAGAGAAAGAAACTTGCTCATCAAGTGTTCTGTTGTTTCAGCAGAGTTTATATCCTAAGTACTTGCTGGAGGCTGCAGACGGGGATTAGCACAGAGAAAGTGGTTACACCCAGTGAGTTCTGATGGCCTTTCTAGTCTGGATTTTCCAGGATTCCCAGATTCTGTGAACACAGCATAGTGGGCAGGGGTGCCCAAATCTGTCTGTTTATCACTGAAAAACACTTGTTTGGGAGTTTATCCAAGACCTCCAAAATCTCTGTGGTCACGCCCAGATGGTCCTGATGCAGCCAGCTGTGCAGCCTTTGACAGTGGTATTTGGGAAGCACTGGTGTGTGAGAAAGTAAATTTTGATTAGGAAACTTAGTTCCAGCTCTGAATGTATATTTTCCTTCCTCTTATCTTTTTGGGTTTCAATTTCCTCATGCCTAAAATAGGACTAAATTATTTGAAAGTCGGGTGCTCTGCCTGCTACAGAAAGTTGTAGGAGGCCAAACTGAGCCCAGATGAGGGGTTCTGAAGGGTCAGTAGAGCTGTCTCAATACACAAGGTGCTATTATCGTTATTGGTATTTACGTGAAAAGGCTGTTTTGGTCACGGGTTGTGTGAACAAATACTTGACAGATGGTGCTTCCAGAGCACTCCCAGGGGCGTTGTTACTCCGGGATTTTCCACTGAATGCAGTCCTCTTTCAAAGTTTTGTTTTGAAACCAGAGAGCCAGCGAGGAGCTTTGGTTAATCCTGGATGCGGGCTGAGCAACTCAACTAGCTGAGCATGGGGCAAGCCTTTTATCTAAGCCTCAACCTTTGGTTGACCTGGGAAGAGAAACGCTCAGTCCTGAAGACAGCTGGCCGCAGTTGACCGATTGTGAGCTGTAGCCTTTATTGCAGCTCCCAGAAGTCTCCGGACTGAGTGGAACCACTTTCTCTGCCTTTATCTAGATATGCTTTCTTTGAGGCAGGTGTGCAGGGGAGGGGGAAGGGGGAGCAGGGGAGG